CTGGAGGAAATGTCACACTCTCACCTCATGACTGGAGGAAATGTCACACTCTCACCTCATGACTGGAGGAAATGTCACACTCTCACCTCATGACTGGAGGAAATGTCACACTCTCACCTCATGACTGGAGGTTATATGTGAGTCCTATAGCTTTGTCTCTGTCACACTCTCACCTCATGACTGGAGGAAATGTCACACTCTCACCTCATGACTGGAGGTTATATGTGAGTCCTATAGCTTTGTCTCTGTCACACTCTCACCTCATGACTGGAGGAAATGTCACACTCTCACCTCATGACTGGAGGAAATGTCACACTCTCACCTCATGACTGGAGGAAATGTCACACTCTCACCTCATGACTGGAGGAAATGTCACACTCTCACCTCATGACTGGAGGAAATGTCACACTCTCACCTCATGACTGGAGGAAATGTCACACTCTCACCTCATGACTGGAGGAAATGTCACACTCTCACCTCATGACTGGAGGAAATGTCACACTCTCACCTCATGACTGGAGGAAATGTCACACTCTCACCTCATGACTGGAGGAAATGTCACACTCTCACCTCATGACTGGAGGAAATGTCACACTCTCACCTCATGACTGGAGGAAATGTCACACTCTCACCTCATGACTGGAGGAAATGTCACACTCTCACCTCATGACTGGAGGAAATGTCACACTCTCACCTCATGACTGGAGGAAATGTCACACTCTCACCTCATGACTGGAGGAAATGTCACACTCTCACCTCATGACTGGAGGAAATGTTGTAAAGTAAAAAGCTAGTCACCTCCACCACATGATGCCATGTTTCCAAGCACAATATTGTCCCCTTGGTCCTTGCATGAACCCACTCTGTTGGTCCTTACATGAACCCACTCTGTCGGTCCTGACATGAACCCACTCTGTTGGTCCTGACATGAACCCACTCTGTTGGTCCTGACATGAACCCACTCTGTTGGTCCTGACATGAACCCACTCTGTTGGTCCTGACATGAACCCACTCTGTTGGTCCTGACATGAACCCACTCTGTTGGTCCTGACATGAACCCACTCTGTTGGTCCTGACATGAACCCACTCTGTTGGTCCTGACATGAACCCACTCTGTTGGTCCTGACATGAACCCACTCTGTTGGTCCTGACATGAACCCACTCTGTTGGTCCTGACATGAACCAACTCTGTTGGTCCTTACATGAACCCACTCTGTTGGTCCTGACATGAACCCACTCTGTTGGTCCTGACATGAACCCACTCTGTTGGTCCTGACATGAACCCACTCTGTTGGTCCTGACATGAACCCACTCTGTTGGTCCTGACATGAACCCACTCTGTTGGTCCTTACATGAACCCACTCTGTTGGTCCTGACATGAACCCATTTTGTTGGTCTCTACATGAACCCACTTTGTTGGTCCTGACATGAACTCACTTTGTTGGTCCTGACATGAACCCACTCTGTTGGTCCTTACATGAACAAACTCTGTTGGTCCTTACATGAACAAACTCTGTTGGTCCTTACATGAACCCACTCTGTTGGTCCTGACATGAACCCACTCTGTTGGTCCTTACATGAACCCACTCTGTTGGTCCTTACATGAACCCACTCTGTTGGTCCTTACATGAACCCACTTTGTTGGTCCTTACATGAACCCACTTTGTTGGTCCTGACATGAACCCACTCTGTTGGTCCTTACATGAACCCACTTTGTTGGTCCTGACATGAACCCACTCTGTTGGTCCTGACATGAACCCACTCTGTTGGTCCTTACATGAACCCACTCTGTTGGTCCTTACATGAACCCACTTTATTGGTCCTTACATGAACCCACTTTGTTGGTCCTTACATGAACTCATTTTGTTTGTCCTGACATGAACCCACTCTGTTGGTCCTTACATGAACCCATTTTGTTGGTCCTTACATGAACCCACTTTATTGGTCCTGACATGAACCCATTTTGTTGGTCCTTACATGAACCCACTTTGTTGGTCCTGACATGAACCCACTCTGTTGGTCCTTACATGAACCCACTCTGTTGGTCCTGACATGAACCCATTTTGTTGGTTCTGACATGAACTCACTTTGTTGGTCCTGACATGAACCCACTCTGTTGGTCCTTACATGAACAAACTCTGTTGGTCCTTACATGAACCCACTCTGTTGGTTCTTACATGAACCCACTTTGTTGGTCCTGACATGAACCCACTCTGTTGGTCCTTACATGAACCCACTCTGTTGGTTCTTACATGAACCCACTTTGTTGGTCGTTACATGAACCCACTTTGTTGGTCCTGACATGAACCCACTCTGTTGGTCCTTACATGAACCCACTTTGTTGGTCCTGACATGAACCCACTTTGTTGGTCCTGACATGAACCCACTCTGTTGGTCCTTACATGAACCCACTCTGTTGGTCCTTACATGAACCCACTTTATTGGTCCTTACATGAACCCACTTTGTTGGTCCTTACATGAACTCATTTTGTTTGTCCTGACATGAACCCACTCTGTTGGTCCTTACATGAACCCATTTTGTTGGTCCTTACATGAACCCACTTTATTGGTCCTGACATGAACCCATTTTGTTGGTCCTTACATGAACCCACTTTGTTGGTCCTGACATGAACCCATTTTGTTGGTCCTTACATGAACCCATTTTGTTTGTCTCTACATGAACCCATTTTGTTGGTCCCTCAGAGAGAACGGCCTCAACTACCTGGAGATGAGGCTGTGGGTTGGTATCTGGACAGGGAGCATCCTGTTCATTATGGTGGCCTTTGACCTCAGCGCCCTGGTTCGCTACATCACCCGTTTCACTGAGGAGAGTTTCGCTGCCCTGATATCCCTCATCTTCATTGTGGAGGCCATTCTTAAGGTATTAGCTTTTCATCCATTGCTTCTTGAGTTGTCCTTTAACATGCTAGTTAGTGTACTATCATTGCCATCATCATCTAGCAGGTCGTTAGCAGAGCGTGGGTCTCATCGCAGGGTGCCTGAAGGAAACTCACTCAGAGAAGATGGATGCTCTCAACATTCTGACTTTGATTTACCTGCTGGTTCCTAACCATAGACTTTGAATGCTGTTTCATCTTTGCATTGCTAAAGCCATCCTCTTTTTGACTTCTTTTGAACAAATGCCTTGCTGCTTAATATGGAATCTAGATATTCTAAGTTGATGACATTTTCAATTTCTTTGTCGTTTAATGTTATTTTGGGTGACAAGCGGTTTTGTCTGTGGACATTATTTTTGTTTTCTTTAAATTGGAGAACAAGTTTTGTTGTGTACAGACATGATGATATTGTTTATTCCCTTGACATTGTTCAAAATCAGGACTTTGTCATAGCCAAGTTCTGGAATAGATTTGCCACCAATGATGAGTGTATCATAAGTGTCACAAGTCTGGTCATTTTACCAAGAACTAAGTTAACTCAGGATCATCTGTGACCAGGGAGCTGAATGAGAAGAAAGGAACTGATGCACACAGATACCACACAGATACCACACAGATACCACTGAGTGTTTTGGTCAGAGCCTTTACTCATGAATGACCAACGGCACTTATAAACCATAACAATGAAAGTGAAAGTTACATAGGTTCAGAAAACACACACACACACACCACACCCCACACCACACCCCACACCACCCCAAACAACACCCCACCACACCCCACACCACACTTGTCATCCCTTTGTGGGATGCAATTTGTCATTCTTTGAAGCCCTACTCTGGCTCTTGCCGTGGGCCACAATATAGCCCAGCCATTAATATGGTCTAATAGCTGAACACAATTCCTGGGACCTCTTCACAGGTGATCCTCATCCACATGGTGGCACTTTGTGTGATGTCCTAGTGGGGTAAACCGGGTGTTTATTGCTTGTGTGATGTCCTAGTGGGGTAAACCGGGTGTTTATTGCTTGTGTGATGTCCTAGTGGGGTAAACCGGGTGTTTATCGCTTGTGTGATGTCCTAGTGGGGTACAAGAAGATAGATAGATAGGAGGGTTGAGAGCCACTGCTGTATAGTGTTTATGTTTAATGATACATCTTTTAACTGGAAGTTCTTGTAGTCTTCAGAGTGTTCTTGTGAAAAGAACTCAGGAAGACCTGTACTCAGGAGGACCTGTACACAGGAGGACATGTACTCAGGAGGACCTGTACTCAGGAGGACATGTACTCAGGAGGACATGTACTCAGGAGGACCTGTACTCAGGAGGACCTGTACTCAGGAGGACCTGTACTCAGGAGGACATGTACACAGGAGGACATGTACACAGGAGGACATGTACTCAGGAGGACCTGTACTCAGGAGGACCTGTACTCAGGAGGACATGTACACAGGAGGACATGTACACAGGAGGACATGTACTCAGGAGGACCTGTACTCAGGAGGACATGTACACAGGAGGACCTGTACTCAGGAGGACATGTACACAGGAGGACCTGTACTCAGGAGGACATGTACTCAGGAGGACCTGTACTCAGAAGGACCTGTACTCAGGAGGACCTGTACACAGGAGGACATGTACACAGGAGGACATGTACTCAGGAGGACATGTACTCAGGAGGACCTGTACTCAGGAGGACATGTACTCAGGAGGACCTGTACTCAGGAGGACATGTACTCAGGAGGACCTGTACTCAGGAGGACCTGTACTCAGGAGGACCTGTACTCAGGAGGACATGTACTCAGGAGGACATGTACTCAGGAGGACCTGTACTCAGGAGGACATGTACTCAGGAGGACCTGTACTCAGAAGGACATGTACTCAGAAGGACCTGTACTCAGGAGGACATGTACTCAGGAGGACCTGTACTCAGAAGGACATGTACTCAGAAGGACCTGTACTCAGGAGGACATGTACTCAGGAGGACCTGTACTCAGGAGGACATGTAATGAAATCCCTCTACTGACATTTCTCATGACACTCCCAGTGTATTTTAGTGAAATCTGTTCAAGCTAGCTTATAATGATCTCCCTTGTTGATTGACAGCTGATAAAAATAGGCAGTGATGCCCCGCCCAACCTGGAACCTGATGCTGAGCTCAACTATAACTGTACCTGTGTTCTGACTGGCAACTTCACTAACTTCTTTGGCACAATTCTGCCGTACAACAGTTCCATAGAAAACGGAACCTACCAGAATACTACATCATATGCTGCCTTCACAAAAGAAGGTCGCACAATGTGTCTAGAAGAGGAAGGTACATTGGTTGGAGACGGATGTACAACACCATTCTACGTCCCAGATGTTTTCTTCTTCTCCTGTCTCCTGTTCATCGGAACGTTCTCCCTGGCCATGTCTCTCAAGCTGTCCAGGAATGGGGCATTTTTCCCCACCGTGGTGAGTTTCTCTTTATTATCACTTTTCACATGTGCGTATGTGCACATGCATGCGTGCACACTAACACACACACTATATGTGCATTTGGCCAGTAGAGTGTCACACCTTCTTTTACATGACACGTGCACATATGTTTGTGTATAAATATATATTAAATATACACATGAACGCACGTACATATGCACACACATACACAACCATAAACACAATTGTAAACAAACTGCTCCCCTTTCCTGGCAACATGCAATAGTTATACCATTGTGGAAGAACAAGGGAAGCAAGCAAGAATGCAGTCAATACTGAGCATCTCTGTTTTAATTCTTTGAGTCCCGGGGGGTTTAGCATCACAGGCCTAGGGGGTAGTAAAGAAAGTAATAAAATCGGCGCAACACACGTTCATTGAGCTTCTAGGTAGGAACCTATGAAAGTATAATGCGTTCCTTGGGACTCAAAGAGTTTAGGCAAAATAATGGAAACGAGGCAGAGACCAGTGATGGAGTCACAGTTGGCTGAAGAACCGTTAGGATTTAGAAGAAATAGAAGCTGCAGAAATGCTGTCTTTACACTTAAATGGTAATAGAAAACAACATTGAATATGATAAGAAATTTTTTGTGGCATTCATAGATCAGGATAAGACATTTGAGACTCGAAAGACAAGTATTTTGGAGAGTATTGGCTTGACCTGAAGAAAGCAAACACCTCATTGACATGTGAAAAAGTTTATATCAGAAATGGGGAAGTGTAATTAGAATAAATTGGGAAACATCTAAACTATTCACAGAAAAAATCCAGAATAAGACAAGGATCTGTCTTAACACCACTGATGTTTATAACATACATCCACAGTCAATGCAAGGATGCCAAGGCCAGAAACAAAAATATTAATAACATCAACAAATTACTATTTACTTGTTCAACAACACTGCTATCCAATTCTAAGTTTTCACATGCTTTCTCTGTTCAATTATGTATCAGCTAGTCTTTATTTGAAATAATTAATTTAAATACTTTGGATGTTATAATCATTTTTGTATGACATGTTAGATTTCACAACAACCAAAAACCGGGAAAACAGCTGATCAAAACAGATGATCCGATGGAAATATTTTGTTTAATTTTCATATCCTAAACTAAATTATCACCAATAGGTTTGTCACTTAGATATCAATCATAATATTAAGACTATTGTCATTATCTGGCAGAGATTCATCAACGACAGAGCAGTATGAACAGTTCTAGACCTTTTTCCTTATCATTTAGTATATACAAATCACATACAAATTGTATCACAAATAAATAAATGTTTAAAATCATAAAATGACACAAAAGCCAGGGGGGACATTGCAAACAAAAGGACATCCAGTTGGTAGTCCCAATTTTTCACAAACTTATTGATAACAGTTTTTTTCCCCACAAACGGAACAAAATTAAAGTGTCTCTATGATACACCAGTATACTGGCGACCGTCTGATAGGGATAACTTCATAAGCCAGTTAACTGGCGACCTGTCTTCAAAGAGTTAAAGCCTAGAAAGTAACTGTTGTTTTCCTGTAGCAGTAAGAGTACAGCCACAATATCACAGTGGCTAGACCAGCGTTCTCTTAAATAAGCCTTTAGCTTCACTGGTCACCTTTGGCTTCACTGGTCACCTTTGGCTTCACTGGTCACCTTTGGGTTCACTGGTCACCTTTGGGTTCACTGGTCACCTTTAGCTTCACTGGTCACCTTTGGGTTCACTGGTCACCTTTGGGTTCACTGGTCACCTTTGGGTTTACTGGTCACCTTTGGCTTCACTGGTCACCTTTGGCTTCACTGGTCACCTTTGGCTTCACTGGTCACCTTTGGCTTCACTGGTCACCTTTAGCTTCACTGGTCACCTTTGGCTTCACTGGTCACCTTTGGGTGGCGCTGGGGAAAACGTCTTGGATTTGACATGAATGCCTTTGTTTATTATTGCCAAAATAAATTTTTTATGGCCATGTATTGACACATTTATTAAAACTAATTACCTTCTTTACTGTTCTGTTACCCCCCATCACTTTAAATATCCCCAAAGATAAAAGATGGGATGTGACTATACAACAGACAATACCTGTATCGGCCTGCTACATTGTGAACTACTGGTATTATCTGCACAAATGAGATCAGATAGATCCGTAGTGTAAGGTTATCATATCTGCCTACCATGCAAACAGTCTTGCATTCAGTCCCCCAGCTAAAACACACACACATTCACCCATACAGGCAGGTACACACACACATTCACCCATACAGGCAGGTACACACACACATTCACCCATACAGGCAGGTACACACACTTCTTATTGTAACTTTTCAGTGAAACTGTTCTTGCAACACTTTCTGCAATAGTATTTGTTTAACCAACCTTACACACATATAGTATTTGTTTAACTAACGTTACCCACATATAGTATTTGTTTCACCAACCTCACACAAACATATAGTATTTGTTTCACCAACCCTATACACATATAGTATTTGTTTAACCAACCTTACACACACATACAGTATTTGTTTCACCAACCTTACACACACATATAGTATTTGTTTCACCAACCTTACACACACATATAGTATTTGCTTCACCAAACTTACACACATATATAGTATTTGTTTCACCAACTTTACACACACACATATAGTATTTGCTTCACCAACCTTACACAAACATATAGTATTTGTTTCACCAACCTTACACACATATAGTATTTGTTTAACCAACCTTACAAACACATATAGTATTTGTTTCACCAACCTTACACACACATACAGTATTTGTTTAACCAACCTTACACACACATATAGTATTTGCTTCTCCAACTTTACACACACATATAGTATTTGTTTCACCAACCTTACACAAACATATAGTAATTGTTTCACCAACCTTACACAAACATATAGTATTTGTTTCACCAGCCTTACACACACATATAGTATTTGCTTCACCAACCTGACACACACATATAGTATTTGTTTCACCAACCTTACACACACATATAGTATTTGTTTCACCAACCTTACACACACATATAGTATTTGTTTCACCAACCTTACCCACATATAGTATTTGTTTCACCAACCTTACCCACATATAGTATTTGTTTCACCAACCTTACACACACATATAGTATTTGTTTAACCAACCTTACACACACATATAGTATTTGTTTAACCAACCTTACACACACATATAGTATTTGTTTCACCAACCTTACACACACATATAGTATTTGTTTCACTAACCTGACACACACATATAGTATTTGTTTCACCAACCTTACACACCTATAGTATTTGTTTAACCAGCCTTACACACACATATAGTATTTGTTTCACCAACCTTACCCACATATAGTATTTGTTTCACCAACCTTACACACATATAGTATTTGTTTCACCAACCTTCCACACACATATAATATTTGTTTAACCAACCTTACACACACACATATAGTATTTGTTTAACCAACCTTACCCACATATAGTATTTGTTTAACCAACCTTACACACACATATAGTATTTGTTACACCTAGATTCTGGCTTTGCTATACTGATTCTCTTCTTGTCCGTCAAGTTGTTTAGAGTGATAAGTGATTTTTATGAGTGACTTTAATGAGTGACTTTGATGAGTGACTGATGAGTGACTTTGATGAGTGACTTTGATGAGTGACTTTGATAAATGACTTTGATAAATAACTTTGCTGTACTGACTCTCACCTTGTCCGTCAGGTGCGTGGGGTTATGAGTGACTTTGCTGTACTGATCGCCATCTTAAGCATGGTACTGTTGGACTTTCTAGTTGGTATCAAAACACCCAAGCTGAACGTGCCCCGTGATTTTGCAGTAAGTATCTTTGTTCACTTGTTCATTGTCCTCAGCCATATTGTCAGTTGTTTGTGTAGGTTACACATGTCCTCAAATTTACTTTCAGTTATGTTTGTAAAACACACATTTCTCAACTACACAGACAAGTGTCTAGAAATATATCAGGTGAGAGTGTCAGATCACATGCCTCAACTGCACAGACAAGTGTCTAGAAATATATCAGGTGAGACTGTCAGATCACATGATTCAACTGCACAGACAAACATCCAGGAATATATCAGGTGAGACTGTCAGATTACATGCCTCAACTACACAGACAAACATCCAGGAATATATCAGGTGAGACTGTCAGATCACATGCCTCAACTGCACAGACAAACATCCAGAAATATATCAGGTGAGACTGTCAGATTACATGCCTCAACTACACAGACAAACATCCAGAAATATATCAGGTGAGACTGTCAGATCACATGCCTCAACTGCACAGACAAACATCCAGGAATATATCAGGTGAGACTGTCAGATTACATGCCTCAACTACACAGACAAACATCCAGAAATATATCAGGTGAGACTGTCAGATCACATGCCTCAACTACACAGACAAACATCCAGAAATATATCAGGTGAGACTGTCAGATCACATGCCTCAACTGCACAGACAAACATCCAGGAATATATCAGGTGAAACTGTCAGATCACATGCCTCAACTTCACAGACAAACATCCAGAAATATATCAGGTGAGAGTGTCAGATCACATGCCTAGGCTGTGGTAAAGAAGAGGAAAGTCTTGATCAGACTGTGAGCTACCTCTGAGTTATGAGCTACCTCTGAGTTATGAGCTACCTCTGAGTTATGAGCTACCTCTGAGTTATGAGCTACCTCTGAGTTATGAGCTAGCTCTGAGTTATGAGCTAACTCTGAGTTATGAGCTAACTCTGAGTTATGAGCTACCTCTGAGTTATGAGCTACCTCTGAGTTATGAGCTACCTCTCAGTTATGAGCTACCTCTGAGTTATGAGCTACCTCTGAGTTATGAGCTACCTCTCAGTTATGAGCTACCTCTCAGTTATGAGCTACCTCTGGGTTATGAGCTAGCTCTGAGTTATGAGCTACCTTTGAGTTATGAGCTACCTCTGAGTTATGAGCTACCTCTCAGTTATAAGCTACCTCTGAGTTATGAGCTACCTCTGAGTTATGAGCTACCTCTGAGTTATGAGCTAGCTCTGAGTTATGAGCTACCTCTGAGTTATGAGCTACCTCTCAGTTATGAACTACCTCTGAGTTGTGTGTGTGTATGAGACAGTAGTACATGTGGAACTGTGTGTGTGTGTGTGTGTATGAGACAGTAGTACATGTGTAACTGTGTGTGTGTGTATGAGACAGTAGTACATGTGTAACTGTGTGTGTGTGTATGAGACAGTATTACATGTGTGTGTGTGTGTATGAGACAGTAGTACATGTGTAACTGTGTGTGTGTGTGTATGAGACAGTAGTACATGTGTAACTGTGTGTGTGTGTGTATGACACAGTAGTACATGTGGAACTGTGTGTGTGTGTGTGTGTGTGTGTATGAGACAGTAGTACATGTGTAACTGTGTGTGTTAGTTAGTTAGTTAGTTAGTTGGGTTATCATCATTGCACTCCGGACATGTCCATAGGTGCTCAGATCCTCCCCTCAGTATGAATCCCAACGTCCGATGGCTAATAGTACCAGTTCTATGTTGATTAACAAGTCTTCTGACGTGTCCGGTGTGCGTCTCGTTTTTTGCTGTGCCGATCTTAATTCCTAAGTCTGCCATTCTGGCGAGTGATGTGGATTCACTGCCACCAAAGTCCTCTATCCTTCCCATTTCTCTGAGGGCATTGATAATATCAGCATGATCCATAGGCCGACCGTCGGTAGTGATAGCGGATCCAGCCAACCTGTCAGCTCTTTCATTTCCATCGACGCCTGTGTGTCCCGGAACAAAAATAAAGGTGACTCCTCGCACAGCGGACTTCTGAATTGATTCAAGCCATTGTCTTCGCACTGAACCTGCCTGAACCCTCCGGATCATACTCATACAACTGTGTGTGTATGAGACAGTAGTACATGTGTAACTGTGTGTGTGTGTGTGTGTATGAGACAGTAGTACATGTGTAACTGTGTGTGTATGAGACAGTAGTACATGTGTAACTGTGTGTGTATGACACAGTAGTACATGTGTAACTGTGTGTGTATGACACAGTAGTACATGTGTAACTGTGTGTGTATGAGACAGTAGTACATGTGTAACTGTGTGTGTATGAGACAGTAGTACATGTGTGACTGTGTGTGTATGAGACAGTAGTACATGTGTAACTGTGTGTGTATGAGACAGTAGTACATGTGTAACTGTGTGTGTGTGTATGACACAGTAGTACATGTGTAACTGTGTGTGTGTGTGTGTGTGTATGACACAGTAGTACATGTGTAACTGTGTGTGTATGAGACAGTAGTACATGTGTAACTGTGTGTGTATGAGACAGTAGTACATGTGTAACTGTGTGTGTGTGTGTGTGTGTGTATGAGACAGTAGTACATGTGTAACTGTGTGTGTATGAGACAGTAGTACATGTGTAACTGTGTGTGTGTGTGTATGAGACAGTAGTACACGTGTAACTGTGTGTGTATGAGACAGTAGTACATGTGTAACTGTGTGTGTGTATGAGACAGTAGTACATGTGTAACTGTGTGTGTGTGTATGAGACAGTAGTACATGTGTAACTGTGTCTGTGTGTGTATGAGACAGTAGTACATGTGTAACTGTGTGTGTGTGTGTGTGTGTATGAGACAGTAGTACATGTGTAACTGTGTGTGTGTGTGTATGAGACAGTAGTACATGTGTAACTGTGTCTGTGTGTGTGTATGAGACAGTAGTACATGTGTAACTGTGTGTGTGTGTGTGTATGAGACAGTAGTACATGTGTAACTGTCTGTGTGTGTGTATGAGACAGTAGTACATGTGTAACTGTGTCTGTGTGTGTGTATGAGACAGTAGTACATGTGTAACTGTGTGTGTGTGTATGAGACAGTAGTACATGTGTAACTGTGTTTTGTGTGTGTGTTTTTATGTGTGTGTATGAGACAGTAGTACATGTGTAACTGCGTGTGTGTGTGTATGAGACAGTAGTACATGTGTAACTGTGTGTGTGTGTGTGTGTGTGTATGAGACAGTAGTACCTGTGCAACTGTGTGTGTGTGTATGAGACAGTTGTACATGTGTAACTTTGTGTGTGTGTGTGTGTATGAGACAGTAGTACATGTGTAACTGTGTGTGTGTGTGTATGAGAGATAGTACATGTGTAACTGTGTGTGTGTGTATGACACAGTAGTACATGTGTAACTGTGTGTGTATGAGACAGTAGTACATGTGTAACTGTGTGTGTATGAGACAGTATTACATGTGTAACTGTGTGTGTATGAGACAGTAGTACATGTGTAACTGTGTGTGTGTGTGTATGAGACAGTAGTACATGTGTAACTGTGTCTGTGTGTGTATGAGACAGTAGTACATGTGTAACTTTGTGTGTGTGTGTGTGTATGTGACAGTAGTACATGTGTAACTGTGTCTGTGTGTGTATGAGACAGTAGTACATGTGTAACTGTGTGTGTGTGTATGACACAGTAGTACATGTGTAACTGTGTGTGTATGTATGAGACAGTAGTACATGTGTAACTGTGTGTGTATGAGACAGTAGTACATGTGTAACTGTGTGTGTGTGTATGAGACAGTAGTACATGTGTAACTGTGTGTGTGTGTGTATGAGACAGTAGTACATGTGTAACTGTGTGTGTGTGTATGAGACAGTAGTACATGTGTAACTGTGTGTGTGTGTGTATGAGACAGTAGTACATGTGTAAATGTGTGTGTGTGTGTGTGTGTGTGTGTGTGTGTGTATGAGACAGTAGTAAATGTATAACTGTGTGCTGCAGCCAACCAACCCCAAGAGGAAGTGGCTGGTCAGCCCTGTTGGATACAACCCCTGGTGGACCACACTGGCAGCCCTGATCCCAGCCCTTCTGTGTACCATCCTCATCTTCATGGACCAACAGATCACAGCTGTGATCGTCAACAGGAAGGAGAACAAGCTACAGGTAAACTCTCTTGCCTGCCAGTGCTCACTCTACCTTGGTCGGTCTCTGTCTGTCTGTCTGTCTGTCTCTGTCTGTCTGTCTGTCTGTCTGTCTGTCTGTCTGTCTGTCTGTCTGTCTGTCTGTCTGTCTGTCTGTCTGTCTGTCTGTCTGTCTGTCTGTCTGTCTGTCTGTCTGTCTGTCTGTCTGTCTGTCTGTCTGTCTGTCTGTCTGTCTGTCTGTCTGTCTGTCTGTCTGTCTGTCTGTCTGTCTGTCTGTCTGTCTGTCTGTCTGTCTGTCTGTCTGTCTGTCTGTCTGTCTGTCTGTCTGTCTGTCTATCTGTCTGTCTCTGTCTGTCTGTCTGTCTAACAACTTATCAGACCTTAGTTGCCACTAATACAACATCTCTCATCTGTGTCAGTCTACCTGTTTGTCTGTTTGTCTGGCTGCCAACTGTTGTAGTGTATGGATGTCATTAAGTTCCTAGCAACTCTAAATGTAATTTTCCTTGTGACTGTTACATGCGATCACCTCTTGTTATTCTCAGACACTAGAGAGCTCCCTTCTTCTGAAACAGAAAATGATTCTGTATTTGATGCTTATTTCACACATAAACATGTACGTGCCTGGCGGCAACAACAAGAAGAAACAGAGTCACCAAAGAAGAAACAAGGACTGTGTGGCAACTTGTTATCCCATTGACCAGCTGTAAACTGTGATGGAACATTTTGTTGTTTTTGTTGATTTCTGGATCTTGAGTTTTGTGATTTATTTGTATGCACAATGTTGGTTCCTTGCACCCCAACTTCAAAGGAAACTAACTAGTGAGATGAGTAGTTGTTATCGGACTGCTCCGGCTGTTGTATGTTTATTCTGCCACTGTCTGTAGTTTGTTTGATAGAAAGTATTGAAACGTTTCTGTTGTCTGATATTTCAGAAATTAATGAAACGTTTCTGTTGTCTGATATTTCAGAAATTAATGAAACGTTTCTGTTGTCTGATATTTCAGAAATTAATGAAACGTTTCTGTTGTCTGATATTTCAGAAATTAATGAAACGTTTCTGTTGTCTGATATTTCAGAAAGCAATGAAACATTTCTGTTGTCTGACACTTCAGAAATTAATGAAACGTTTCTGTTGTCTGACATTTCAGAAAGTAATGAAACGTTTCTGTTGTCTGACATTTCAGATAGTAATAAAACGTTTCTGTTGTCTGACATTTCAGAAAGTAATAAAACGTTTCTATTGTCTGACATTTCAGAAAGTAATAAAACGTTTCTATTGTCTGACATTTCAGAAAGTAATGAAACATTTCTGTTGTCTGACATTTCAGAAAGTAATGAAACATTTCTGTTGCCTGACATTTCAGAAAGTAATGTAATGTTTCTGTTGTCTGACATTTCAGAAAGTAATAAAACGTTTCTATTGTCTGACATTTCAGAAAGTAATGGAACATTTCTGTTGTCTGACATTTCAGAAAGTAATGTAATGTTTCTGTTGTCTGACATTTCAGAAAGTAATGAAAGGTTTCTGTTGTCTGACATTTCAGAAAGGATCTGGTTATCACCTGGATCTGTTTGTGGTGGCTCTGCTGATTGTTATCTGTTCCTTCCTGGGTCTGCCTTGGTTTGTGGCTGCCACGGTCCTCTCCATCAATCATGTCAACAGCTTGAAGAAAGAATCTCAGTGTTCGGCTCCTGGGGAGAGACCTAAGTTTCTGGGTGTCAGGTGCGTCTGGTTACTTATCAAAGGTGGCGTTAGTTGTACAAGAGCACCTTTTCTGTCTCACGGTGTGATCATGACACCATGTGGTGCCTGGTGCCAGAAAGAATAAGACCACAGCGTCCTCTCAGCATGTCATAAGAGGCCACTAAGAGGGATTGGACATGGGGCCAGCAACCCAATACTGTAGAAAAAAGATAACCGCTACAGAAACAGAGACAAACTTAAATATGAATAATACTCATGGAGATCCGGATGTCATAGATGTCGGTGACAGGATAACTATCAACGATGAAGAACTGGGGGAAAGCCTGCGGGGAAACCCAGCCTCAACGACCTGCTTCTTGGCGTCCAGGAACATGATTCAGCTTGTCTGTTGGAACCTCAGGACGATGTATGAAGCAGGCAGATCTGCATAAATTGCAGAGGAATTGGCAAACAATAAGATATACATTTTGGGAATAAGTGACATCAGATGGCCTGGTCACAAAAGAGTGACATATAGTAGTGGAAAGTCCATACTCTACTTGGCAAGAAATAATAGCGAGCTAATGCAAACTAAAAAAGTAATCAAATCTCTGATTGGATGGATGGCTATAAATGAAAGGCTAATAACTGCAGGCTTTGAGTCTAGATTCACAAAACTTAGTCATGCAATGCTATGCATCAACAAGTGATGAGAAGAAAGATGAGTTTTATACCCGGTTAGATGAACTGATAAATGAAGTCGCCAAACATGACCTACTTATAGTTATGGGCAACTTGAACGCGAAAGGGGGAAGGGATAACATAGGACCCAATCCGTCATGGGGAAACATGGGCTAGGAAAGAGGTACAATGATAGAGAAAGGCTGACCGACTTCTCTCTCCACCACAGTCTAGACATTGGTGGTACAGTCTGCATGCATAAAGATATCCACAAGTATACACGGACATTACCTAATGGCAACACGAGGAACCAAATTTACAGCATACTGTACAATAGGAAGTGGAGGACCTCAATACAAGATGTATTTGGAAATGTCGGAAGCTGCCACAACATAGTGATTTGTAAATTGAAGCTTACATTAAGATTAATCAAGAAAAAGACAGTAAGCTCATTATTTGATTCAGCCCAGGACATTAACATTCAGAGAAGATTTTTGTGTCGAACTAAGAAACCAGTTTGTGGTGTTTAACCACCTTCCAGAGACAGCAAATACTGAAGATGAATAGGTAGTGTCTAAATCTGCATATTTGCAGTTAGTAAAGTAAAAAGTGAAGGACCCTTTTCCATGCCTTTAGATGTACAGGGCATATAGGGCTAGACCTATATTTGTATAGACCAATAAGCACAAAATGAGTGATGGGGTGACCACACAATGAGAAGATAAGTGATAAGTGCCACCACACAATGAGAACATGAATGATGTGTGCCACCATACAGTGAGAACATGAGTGAGTGTGCCACCACACAGTGAGAAGATGAGTGATGTGTGCCACCATACAGTGAGAACATGAGTGATGTGTGCCACCACACAGTGAGAACAAGAGTGATGTGTGCCACCACACAGTGAGAACATGAGTGATGTGTGCCACCACATAGTGAGAACATGAGTGATGTGTGCCACCACACAGTGAGAAGATGAGTGATGTGTGCCACCACACAGTGAGAACATGAGTGATGTGTGCCACCACACAGTGAGAACATGAATGATGTGTGCCACCACACAGTGAGAACATGAGTGATGTGTGCCACCACACAATGAGAACATGAATGATGTGTGCCACCACACAGTGAGAACATGAGTGATGTGTGCCACCACACAGTGAGAACATGAGTGATGTGTGCCACCACACAGTGAGAACATGAATGATGTGTGCCACCACACAGTGAGAACATGAGTGATGTGTGCCACCACACAGTGAGAACATGAGTGATGTGTGCCACCACACAGTGAGAACATGAGTGATGTGTGCCACCACACAGTGAGAACATGAGTGATGTGTGCCACCACACAGTGAGTACATGAGTGATGTGTGCCACCACACAATGAGAACATGAGTGATGTGTGCCACCACACAGTGAGAAGATGAGTGATAGATGCCACCACACAGTGAGAACATGAGTGATGTGTGCCATCACACAGTGAGAACATGAGTGATGTGTGCCACCACACAGTGAGAACATGAGTGATGTGTGCCACCACACAGTGAGAACAAGAGCGATGTGTGCCACCACACATTGAGAACATGAGTGATGTGTGCCACCACACAGTGAGAACATGAGTGATAGATGCCACCACACGGTGAGAACATGAGTGATGTGTGCCACCACACAGTGGGTACATGAGTGTTGTGTATGTCCTCATATATTCTCGTATGACAGTCATATGATGACATTCATATTTCTCAACTGATTGTTGTGTATGTCCTCATATACTCTCTTATGACATTCATCTGTCTCAACTGATTGTTGTTTATGTCCTCAAATATTCTCATTTGAAAGTCATCTTTCTCAACTGACTGTTGTGTATTCATCATCTCAATCAGTGTCTGTGTGTCTGTTGTGATTTCTTAAACAGTGTCTGTGTGATTGTTGTGTGTCAACTGAAATTGTTGCTGTGTTTCAGGGAACAGAGAGTCACCGGTACTTTGATCTTCTTGTTTATTGGTCTATCTGTCTTTCTGACCTCAGTACTCCAAGTAAGCATTTGTGTCTCTTTGATTTTATCTGATAGTTTTTTGGTGGGGAAAAGGTGGGGGGTTATATTAATGCTATTAAATTATAGCAAACTTATGTAAATCAAAAACTGTGATAGTAACAATACAACAATTAAAGAAATACCTGGCAGCGAATATTTTAAATGTTTAGATCCATCCATGTGTCATAAAGATAGCCTTTGAGGTCACAGTTGATTAAATCTGTGAGCTCCTGACCAGGGAGAAATACCACTTTTTCAGTCACTGAATGTGGGTGGTGGCTTTCTAGTCATAGCTCACAGCGGCAGTTACAACATCAACACTGTGGGAAGTCTAGGCATCAAGGAGGCCTGAAACTTGGTAAGTCTAGGCATCAAGGAGGCCTGAAGCTTGGAAAGTCTAGGCATCAAGGAGGCCTGAAGCTTGGAAAGTCTAGGCATCAAGGAGGCCTGAAGCTTGGAAAGTCTAGGCATCAAGGAGGCCTGAAGCTTGGAAAGTCTAGGCATCAAGGAGGAAGCTTGGAAAGTCTAGGCATCAAGGAGGCCTGAAGCTTGGAAAGTCTAGGCATCAAGGAGGCCTGAAGCTTGGAAAGTCTAGGCATCAAGGAGGCCTGAAGCTTGGAAAGTCTAGGCATCAAGGAGGCCTGAAGCTTAGAAAGTCTAGGCATCAAGGAGGCCTGAAGCTTGGAAAGTCTAGGCATCAAGGAGGCCTGAAGCTTGGGAAGTCTAGGCATCAAGGAGGCCTGAAGCTCAGAGATATTGCCTCTACACTTGCTGCCAAATTCATTCAGATACACTTGACTGTGAATGGAGGTTACATTTTGAAGGGACAACATATTTGTGGGCACATTCTGTACTTTTGGCTACACACATACTTATGATGTTGGGGCATTGCAAGTATGCAGAGATGATATTCATGAAGCTTTGAATACTTCCAGCTGTAGACTAGCTTACATGTTGACAAAATCTGCTATCTTGTCATCACAGTTTATCCCCATGCCTGTTCTCTTTGGAGTGTTTCTCTACATGGGTATCTCCTCACTGAGAGGCATGCAGTTGATCGACCGCATCATGATCCTGTTGATGCCCGCCAAGTACCAGCCAGACTACATGTACCTGCGGCACGTGAGAACCAAGAGAGTGCACCTGTTCACCTGCATCCAGGTGCTGTGTTTGGCCTTTCTCTGGGTCATCAAGTCCATCAAGTCCATCTCCATTGCCTTCCCTGTTATGGTGAGTCAGACAGCAAATGTTCTGGGCTACCAGGTCTTAGATATCCAGGCATCTGAATGCAGTAGATTGATCTTCTATATACTACAGTAGTATCTAGACATATTTGAAAGGAAAACCTTGAAAGTGTGCCAGAAATGACAGTAATCATGCTATTGTATGTCAGGATGTTGTTGAGGATGTCAGGAATGTTAAGCACATGACAACACATTGCTGAATATGATGATGACAGTTTAAAAATAGCTGGCAAACTTTTGACAAGCACCAATGAGATGCAGTATTATGTTGTATTTATTTTGTTTAAATCTGTGAAGGAGTGAAACCTGTAGAAGTGAAGCTTCCTTGTGAACAGTGTCATTGTCACTCAGAATCAATCAGTGGTTTTCCTGTACAAAACCTTAAACAACTCACATGGTCATGAACATGAGTCACAGAAGTCACGCCACTTCGATACTTCCCACTCCAATCATACACTGACCTTCATTTACCGATGAGCTATTGTAGGTTTCAGCCCTTTACTGATCACTTCTTTAGTGCATGTCATAATTGTGGTGACCATCAGTCCAGTTTTCTAGAGTTTCCTCTGGGTTACCACATTTACTGTGTGGTTTAGTCCAGTTTTCTCAAGTAACTCCTGGCTTACCACATATACAATCAGTGAACTCAGTCAGACCTATCTTTAGTCATACTGGCAACTGTCACCATTTGATATCAGATTTCTGAAATCATCTTTGTGTCAGTTTACAGTGGTTCGTTGTGTTAATTCATGCATTTGTGTGTGTCAGCCTCCAACAATCTGTTTTGTTGAAGTGTCTTTGTTCTTGTTTGTTATGTATGCCAGCATGATAGTTGACAATGATATATTTATGTTGAAATGTTGGCTAATTTCAGGTAATCATGTAATGGCAGCTCTAACATCATAGTCAACGGGTCACCCATGACATAGCTGCTCCATTTCTGTGCCAAAGAAAACCACACAAAAACTCCATCACTGTCCCTTGTGGGAAGAACATGACACAGACTGCAGTCTCAGCAAATTCAGTAACATACACTAGTATTATATGCATAAGGCAGTCATCAAAAGTGCCAAAACGGACCACATTGGGCACAGTAAAAAAAAAAACATTCCAAGGAAATTCTGCAGCTCACAGTGACATGCCATGCACTCAGTTCAGTTACTAGGTAACAGAAATATATTCTTTCAGTCTACATGTGGAGGAAAATGATATGGCCAACTATTGTTTGAAACAAATACTTGCCTTGACTACAAACAGTAAACCTGCCTGTCCTCCATATTGACAAGAAGCATAATTATTGGCTAACTTTACCATATATGTCAACATAATGGTTAACTTGACCATGTGTTATGTTATATATGTCAACATGATGGTTAACTTGACCATGTATATATGTTATATATGTCAACATGATGGTTAATTTGACCATGTATTATGTTATATATATATGTTAACATGATGGTTAACTTGACCATGTGTATATGTCAACATGATGGTTAACTTGACCATGTGTATGTGTGTTATATATGTCAATATGATAGTTAACTTGATCATGTTTGTATGTTATATATGTCAACATGATGGTTAACTTGGCCATGTGTGAATGTTATATATGTCAACATTATGGTTAACTTGATCATATGTGTGGTTATATATGCCAGCATGATGGTTAACTTGACCATGTGTGTATATTATGTCAATATGATGGTTAACTTGACCATGTGTGTATGTTATATATGTCAATATGATGGTGAACTTGACCATGTGTGTGTGTGTGTGTGTGTGATACATATGTAAACAGGTTGCCTAACTTGATCAAATGTGTTATGTATGTTAGTATCATGGCTACCTTTTCCATGAATGTGTTATGTATATCAGCATGGTGGTCAACTTGACCATGTATGTGTTGTGTATGTCAGATGATTGGCTTACTTGACCATGTATGTGTTGTGTATGTCAGATGATTGGATTACTTGACCATGTATGTGTTGTGTATGTCAGATGATTGGATTACTTGACCATGTATGTGTTGTGTATGTTGGCATGGTTGTCTTACTTGACCTTGTGGTTTAAATCCAGGTACTGGCCATGTGCTTCATCCGCAAGGGTATGGACAAAATCTTTACCCAGCAGGAGCTCAAGTGGTTGGATGACATCATGCCAGAGGTTCACAGGAGGGAGAAAGAAGATGAGGAGAAGAAACAAGAAGAGGTCAGTATAGGCAGTACTGTGGCAAGCTAGGTTACTGTGTGTTGATCCATTAAAAAAAAACTAACAACTTAAAATGATCTAGAATTTTTCTATACAACTTCTAAAACCTTCAGCTTGTGCTTAGATCTGTTCTAGCTTTATAGCATGTCAATCCGTCAGTCCATCATTCAGTCAATCAGTCAATCAGGTGATGTTTCTTCCATGAAGGTTGGCTGCAGTTGATCTCTGACACGCTCTATCTCTTGTCTTGTCTTGGTTGTACACTCCCTCAGACTGATGTTGATCTATCTCTTGTCTTGTCTTGGTTGTACACTCCCTCAGACTGACGTTGCTCTATCTCTTGTCATGTCTTGGTTGTACACTCCCTCAGACGGATGTTGCTCTATCTCTTGACATGTCTTGGTTGTACACTCCCTCAGACTGATGTTGCTCTATCTCTTGTCTTGTCTTGGTTGTACACTCCCTCAGACTGAGGTTGATCTATCTCTTGTCTTGTCTTGGTTGTACACTCCCTCAGACTGATGTTGATCTATCTCTTGTCTTGTCTTGGTTGTACACTCCCTCAGACTTATGTTGCTCTCTTGTCTTGTCTTGGTTGTACACTCCCTCAGACGGATGTTGCTCTATCTCTTGTCTTGTCTTGGTTGTACACTCCCTCAGACTGATGTTGATCTATCTCTTGTCTTGTCTTGGTTGTACACTCCCTCAGACTGATGTTGATCTATCTCTTGTCTTGTCTTGGTTGTACACTCCCTCAGACTTATGTTGCTCTCTTGTCTTGTCTTGGTTGTACACTCCCTCAGACGGATGTTGCTCTATCTCTTGTCTTGTCTTGGTTGTACACTCCCTCAGACTGATGTTGATCTATCTCTTGTCTTGTCTTGGTTGTACACTCCCTCAGACTGATGTTGATCTATCTCTTGTCTTGTCTTGGTTGTACACTCCCTCAGACTTATGTTGCTCTCTTGTCTTGTCTTGGTTGTACACTCCCTCAGATGGATGTTGCTCTATCTCTTGTCTTGTCTTGGTTGTACACTCCCTCAGACTTATGTTGATCTATCTCTTGTCTTGTCTTGGTTGTACACTCCCTCAGACTGACGTTGCTCTATCTCTTGTCATGTCTTGGTTGTACACTCCCTCAGACGGATGTTGCTGTATCTCTTGACATGTCTTGGTTGTACACTCCCTCAGACTGATGTTGCTCTATCTCTTGTCTTGTCTTGGTTGTACACTCCCTCAGACTGAGGTTGCTCTATCTCTTGTCTTGTCTTGGTTGTACACTCCCTCAGACTGATGTTGATCTATCTCTTGTCTTGTCTTGGTTGTACACTCCCTCAGACTTATGTTGCTCTCTTGTCTTGTCTTGGTTGTACACTCCCTCAGACTGACGTTGCTCTATCTCTTGTCATGTCTTGGTTGTACACTCCCTCAGACGGATGTTGCTCTATCTCTTGTCTTGTCTTGGTTGTACACTCCCTCAGACTGATGTTGATCTATCTCTTGTCTTGTCTTGGTTGTACACTCCCTCAGACTTATGTTGCTCTATCTCTTGTCTTGTCTTGGTTGTACACTCCCTCAGACTGATGTTGCTCTATCTCTTGTCTTGTCTTGGTTGTACACTCCCTCAGACTTATGTTGCTCTCTTGTCTTGTCTTGGTTGTACACTCCCTCAGACTGACGTTGCTCTCTTGTCTTGTCTTGGTTGTACACTCCCTCAGACTGATGTTGCTCTATCTCTTGTCTTGTCTTGGTTGTACACTCCCTCAGACTTATGTTGCTCTCTTGTCTTTTCTTGGTTGTACACTCCCTCAGACTTATGTTGCTCTCTTGTCTTGTCTTGGTTGTACACTCCCTCAGACTGAGGTTGCTCTATCTCTTGTCTTGTCTTGGTTGTACACTCCCTCAGACTGATGTTGCTCTATCTCTTGTCTTGTCTTGGTTGTACACTCCCTCAGACTTATGTTGCTCTATCTCTTGTCTTGTCTTGGTTGTACACTCCCTCAGACTGAGGTTGCTCTATCTCTTGTCTTGTCTTGGTTGTACACTCCCTCAGACTGATGTTGATCTATCTCTTGTCTTGTCTTGGTTGTACACTCCCTCAGACTGAGGTTGCTCTCTTGTCTTGTCCTGGTTGTACACTCCCTCAGAAGGATGTTGCTCTATCTCTTGTCTTGTCTTAGTTGTACACTCCCTCAGACTGATGTTGATCTATCTCTTGTCTTGTCTTGGTTGTACACTCCCTCAGACTGATGTTGCTCTATCTCTTGTCTTGTCTTGGTTGTACACTCCCTCAGACTTATGTTGCTCTCTTATCTTGTCTTGGTTGTACACTCCCTCAGACTAAGGTTGCTCTATCTCTTGTCTTGTCTTGGTTGTACGCTCCCTCAGACTTATGTTGCTCTCTTGTCTTGTCTTGGTTGTACACTCCCTCAAGCTGAGGTTGCTCTATCTCTTGTCTTGTCTTGGTTGTACACTCCCTCAGACTGAGGTTGCTCTATCTCTTGTCTTGTCTTGGTTGTACACTCCCTCAGACTTATGTTGCTCTCTTGTCTTGTCTTGGTTGTACACTCCCTCAGACTGAGGTTGCTCTATCTCTTGTCTTGGTTGTACACTCCCTCAGACTGATGTTGATCTATCTCTTGTCTTGTCTTGGTTGTACACTCCCTCAGACTTATGTTGCTATCTTGTCTTGTCTTGGTTGTACACTCCCTCAGACTGAGGTTGCTCTATCTCTTGTCTTGTCTTGGTTGTACACTCCCTCAGACTTATGTTGCTCTCTTGTCTTGTCTTGGTTGTACACTCCCTCAGACTGAGGTTGCTCTATCTCTTGTCTTGTCTTGGTTGTACACTCCCTCAGACTGAGGTTGCTCTCTTGTCTTGTCCTGGTTGTACACTCCCTCAGACGGATGTTGCTCTATCTCTTGTCTTGTCTTGGTTGTACACTCCCTCAGACTGATGTTGATCTATCTCTTGTCTTGTTTTGGTTGTACACTCCCTCAGACTGAGGTTGTTCTATCTCTTGTCTTGTCTTGGTTGTACACTCCCTCAGACGGATGTTGCTCTCTTGTCTTGTCTTGGTTGTACACTCCCTCAGACTGATGTTGATCTATCTCTTGTCTTGCCTTGGTTGTACACTCCCTCAGACGGATGTTGCTCTATCTCTTGTCTTGTCTTGGTTGTACACTCCCTCAGACTGATGTTGATCTATCTCTTGTCTTGCCTTGGTTGTACACTCCCTCAGACTTATGTTGCTCTCTTGTCTTGTCTTGGTTGTACACTCCCTCAGACTGAGGTTGCTCCATCTCTTGTCTTGTCTTGGTTGTACACTCCCTCAGACTGATGTTGATCTATCTCTTGTCTTGCTTTGGTTGTACACTTCCTCAGACTTATGTTGCTCTCTTGTCTTGTCTTGGTTGTACACTCCCTCAGACTGAGGTTGCTCTATCTCTTGTCTTGTCTTGGTTGTACACTCCCTCAGACGGATGTTGCTCTATCTCTTGTCTTGTCTTGGTTGTACACTCCCTCAGACTGAGGTTGCTCTATCTCTTGTCTTGTCTTGGTTGTACACTCCCTCAGACTGACGTTGCTCTCTTGTCTTGTCTTGGTTGTACACTCCCTCAGACTTATGTTGCTCTATCTCTTGATGTTGTTCTCCCACTGGTATCATCATCCTCTTGCACTCTTGCCCTACCTTTCACTCCAGAATGGTATTTCAGAAGCGTTTTGTCTTTTAATGTGGTCAAACCATTTCAATTGTCTCTCTCTCTCTTTTTTTTTTTTTTCAGTAATTCATTATAGTCATGACATTATTGCCTGCAAGTCAAGTTTCACTGTCATATGATGAAACATGTAATGTTACCTTTACCCCTTATACAATTATTCTACCATGACAATTTGTGCACTTTATTGTGAAATAGTCAGACCTGAAGCTGGCAACAGATGTAAACTTTATTCCTGTTCTGTATATTTAACCTTCAAGGAGATTCATTTCTTCCAACCCTCCTTTAAACTGCAGATACCCTGAGCTTATTTCCTCTGTCAGACCCAAAAACCACATCTCTAGTTTAGTAATCAGGTTCTAAACCACATCTCTAGTTTAGTAATCAGGTTTTAAACCACATCTCTAGTATAGTAATCAGGTTGTTTACCACATCTCTAGTTTAGTAATCAGGTTTTAAACCACATCTCTAGTTTAGTAATCAGGTTGTAAACCACATCTCTAGTTTAGTAATCAGGTTATAAACCACATCTCTAGTTTAGTAATCAGGTTATAAACCACATCTCTAGTTTAGTAATCAGGTTCTAAACCACATATCTATTTTAGTAATCAGGTTCTAAACCTCATTTCTCAACTGTGTTTTCTTGTTTTATCTCAGCAACGAAGGTCACTCATAGAAGAAACAACCGCCATACCCATGGCAGCCCTGGGTTTCTGTATGACCGGTGAAAGCTGGACTGTGAAAGCAGAGGTTGACACAGTCAATATATCCGAAGAGATGTCAAAAACGGCCATGTGGAAGTCCATCATGTCCAATGAGTCCTCATCCAGTCTGCAGCAGAAGGCAGCAGAAGAGGATGGTGGGCACAAAAGTAGCTCCAAGAAGTAAGTAGCCAGCCATGTTTTAGTTGGAGGCAGGTTCAAATACCAGCCATGTTTTAGTCTGAGGGAAGCTCAAGTTTTAGTCTGAGGGAAGCTCAAGTTTTAGTCTGAGGGAAGCTCAAGTTTTAGTCTGAGGGAAGCTCAAGTTTTAGTCTGAGGGAAGCTCAAGTTTTAGTCTGAGGGAAGCTCAAGTTTTAGTCTGAGGGAAGCTCAAATTTTAGTCTGAGGGAAGCTCAAGTTTTAGTCTGAGGGAAGCTCAAGTTTTAGTCTGAGGGAAGCTCAAATTTTAGTCTGAGGGAAGCTCAAGTTTTATCTGAGGGAAGCTCAAGTAGCCAGCCATAATTAAGTCTGAGGAAAGCTAAAGTAGTCAGCCATGTTTAAGTTTAAGCGAAACTCATGTATCCCTGTCTGCAGCCAACTTGTGTCTGCAGCCAACTTGTGTCTGCAGCCAACTTGTGTCTGCAGCCAACTTGTGTCTGCAGGGTCTGTCAGCAAACTAGAAGAAGAAATATGGTCTTTTGTTATAAATGTCCTGTTTTACAGCTAGCTACACTTTTTTCCTGCCACATTTCACCAGCCCCAGATATTGTCATCCTCCGCTCATTTGTTCTGAGTTGGACCAGACATTGTCATCTTCCACTCATTTGTCCTGAGTTGGACCAGACATTGTCACCTTCCACTCATTTGTCCTGAGTTGGACCAGACATTGTCATCTTCCACTCATTTGTCATGAGTTGGACCAGAAATTGTCACCTTCCACTCATTTGTCCTGAGTTGGACCAGATATTGTCATCCTCCGCTCATTTGTTCTGAGTTGGACCAGATATTGTCATCTTCCACTCATTTGTCCTGAGTTGGATCAGACATTGTCACCTTCCACTCATTTGTCCTGAGTTGGACCAGACATTGTCATCTTCCACTCATTTGTTCTGAGTTGGAGCAGATACTATCACTTTCCCCTCATTTGTCCTGAGTTAGACCAATTATTGTCACCTTCCACTCATTTGTCCTGAGTTGGACCAGACATTGTCATCTTTGACTCATTTGTCCTGAGTTAGACCAGACATTGTCACCTTTCCCTCATTTGTCCTGAGTTAGACCAATTATTGTCATCTTCCACTCAGTTGTCCTGAAATACCAGCTGTCTGAGTGTTTGATATGTTTCAGTGTAGTTAAGATAAAACAACAGTTATGTGAAGTGATTCCTAGAACTGGTGTGCTTATGGTGGGACACACAGGCTGAGATGTTGGCAGTGTCTCGGTGCAGGAAGGAAGTTCACTGCATACTACCAGTCTCCCTGCAGCCCCAGTTGTTGTTTGTGCATGTTTAGTGGACACCCTCTGTATCTGTGTATAGTTGTTTGTTTACCTGTAGTTTTATGTTTGTTTTAGCGCACGTGTTCAGCTATCACTGTTTCCTCAAATGTAGACTTCAGGTAGTTGTTTGTTTACTAAACAATCACTTGACTGATATTTCATGAGAACAATCACTCATTATGATCAGTCTGTTCGCATTCTGAGACACCTCCATGCATATACACACTAGTACAATTTGCTTGTTCAGTCTCTATATTATGATGATTAAATATTTGGATGACCGCTGTATTTGAGGGTTTGGATTCAGGCCCATTACTTCTGGTGTATCAAAGCCAATATGTGTACGTCAATACAGCAATGTGGTGTGCATATTGAAGACATCATGGGTTAATGTTATAAGTGAGCACACCTCATCAATGTTGGCTTTGGTCCAGAGTTTGTCAGTGTCACTCATCCCTTTGTTGTGTGACATCAATGATACTGAAAATGTTCTATGGATTTCTCAACATTTTTTTTTAAAGCTTTTAGTTTGTCACTGTTTTATTACAGCCTTCGACAGTTATCACGTTATCTCTATTTTGTTTTACCATATAATAAACTTTATTTATTTCCATTTTCTTTAAGGCTGCACCAATCTTTCTTTCTTTGTTTTATTTCAGCAGTGAACACTCTCACTTTGTCACTGTTTTATTTCAGCAGTGAACACTCTCACTTTGTCACTGTTTTATTTCAGCAGTGAACACTCACTTTGTCACTGTTTTATTTCAGCAGTGAACACTCTCACTTTGTCACTGTTTTATTTCAGCAGTGAACACTCTCACTTTGTCACTGTTTTATTTCAGCAGTGAACACTCTCACTTTGTTTTATTTCAGCAGTGAACACTCTCACTTTGTCACTGTTTTATTTCAGCAGTGAACACTCTCACTTTGTCACTGTTTTATTTCAGCAGTGAACACTCTCACTTTGTCACTGTTTTATTTCAGCAGCAGTGAACACTCTCACTTTGTCACTGTTTTATTTCAGCAGTGAACACTCTCACTTTGTCACTGTTTTATTTCAGCAGTGAACACTCTCACTTTGTCACTGTTTTATTTCAGCAGTGAACACTCTCACTTTGTCACTGTTTTATTTCAGCAGTGAACACTCTCACTTTGTCACTGTTTTATTTCAGCAGTGAACACTCTCACTTTGTCACTGTTTTATTTCAGCAGTGAACACTCTCACTTTGTCACTGTTTTATTTCAGCAGTGAACACTCTCACTTTGTCACTGTTTTATTTCAGCAGTGAACACTCTCACTTTGTCACTGTTTTATTTCAGCAGTGAACACACTTGTCTCACTTTGTCACTGTTTTATTTCAGCAGTGAACACTCTCACTTTGTCACTGTTTTATTTCAGCAGTGAACACTCTCACTTTGTCACTGTTTTATTTCAGCAGTGAACACTCTCACTTTGTCACTGTTTTATTTCAGCAGTGAACACTCTCACTTTGTCACTGTTTTATTTCAGCAGTGAACACTCTCACTTTGTCCTGCCCCTGTGTTGTGACATTATAGTCTTGTACCCCAACATGTGAGGTGAAGTGAGGTGAGGTGAGCTGTTGTGTTGACTTCTTATACCTCAACATGGAGGTGAGGTGAGGTGAGCTGTTGTGTTGACTTTCCATACCTCAACATTTGAGGTGAGGTGAGGTTAGCTGCTGTGTTTATTTCACAAAAAATTGCTAGACTATATATTCTACCTTTTGAATGAAACTGGGTTAACTCCCACCCAAACTGGGTTAACTCCCTACCCAAACTGAGTTAACTCCCTACCCAAACTGGGTTAACTCCCTTCCCAAACTGGGTTAACTTTCTACCTAAACTGGGTTAACTCCCTGCCCAAACTGGGTTAACTCCCTACCCAAACTTGGTTAACTCCCTACCCAAACTGGGTTAACTCCCTGCCCAAACTGGGTTAACTCCCTACCCAAACTGAGTTAACTCCCTGCCCAAACTGGGTTAACTCCCTACCCAAACTGGGTTAACTTCCTACAGAAACTGGGTTAACTCCCTGCCCAAACTGGGTTAACTCCCTACCCAAACTGGGTTAACTCCCTACCCAAACTGGGTTAACTCCCTGCCCAAACTGGGTTAACTTCCTACCCAAACTGGGTTAACTTCCTACCCAAACTGGGTTAACTCCCTGCCCAAACTGGGTTAACTTCCTGCCCAAACTGGGTTAACTTTCTACCCAAACTGGGTTAACTTTCTACCCAAACTGGGTTAACTCTGTACACAAGCTGGGTTAACAGCTTGCCCAAACTGGGTTAACTCCCTGTCCATCTGGATGAAAGAAAACAAAACCTTGCTTCTGCTGGGGATTATATTGAGGCCTCAGACCGGAAGAAAGGGACCACTCATTAATCTTGATTAGAACAATAAAGGGTGGATTCCTTTTGTGGGCAATATCTATTCTGTATTTCTATATTATTTAAGACTTGGTACAAAACCAATCATCTTCAAAAGAACAACAAATGATGGCTTTTTTTTTTAGACAAGATTCTTTCTCTATCTCTGTTTTATTTGTTTTTGTAAAGTACGAAGCTGTTGACTTTTGTTTGGGTCAAGAAAAAAATGTTGTAGGCAAGATTCTCATTATCACTGTTTACTTTTGTCTCTGCTCTCTCAGGCATCGGTGAGTAGTTACATGGCTATTGTTATCTTGTGTTCCATGGTGTGTTTGCTTTGACTTGCATCATACATGTGTGTGCGTGTGTGCATACAATCTAATAATGTCTGCCTTGAGTTACCAAGCTCACACGTATGGCAACAATATCTGATGTAGCAGTCTGCTACACAGCTATATATGTGTGTGTGTGTGTTTGTGTGTGCAGTCTTGCAAATATTGACTAACATAATACTGCCCATAACTGAGCATATAAAAGATTGCAAATACTGACTCCTAAAACAACGCCAATATGTGTACACATTCTTGCAATATTTTGCTGACATGCTGTCCATTCACATGTGTACACATATTCTTGCAATATTTTAATGATATGATTCTGTCCATTTACATGTGTACACATCCTTGCAATATTTTAATGATATGATTCTGTCCCTTAACATGTGTACACATTCTTGCAATATTTTAGTGACATGATTCTGTCCCTTCACATGTGTACACATTCTTGCAATATTTTAGTGATATGATTCTGTCCCTTCACATCTGTACATATTCTTGAAATATTTTAGTGATATGATTCTGTCCCTTCACATCTGTACATATTCTTGCAATATTTTAGTGATATGATTCTGTCCCTTCACATGTGTACATATTCTTGCAATATTTTAGTGATATGATTCTGTCCCTTCACATGTGTACATATTCTTGCAATATTTTAGTGATATGATTCTGTCCCTTCACATGTGTACATATTCTTGCAATATTTTAGTGATATCATTCTGTCCCTTCACATGTGTACATATTCTTGCAATATTTTAGCGATATGATTCTGTCCCTACACATGTGTACATATTCTTGCAATATTTTAGCGATATGATTCTGTCCCTTCACATGTGTACATATTCTTGCAATATTTTAGTGAAATGATTCTGTCCCTTCACATGTGTACACATTCTTGCAATATTTTAATGATATGATTCTGTCCCTTCACATGTGTACACATTCTTGCAATATTTTA